CTCTTGAACACGGAACGTGTATGCAAGCCGGGCTTGCTGGTCGTGGAGGCGGCCGTAAAGAACTTCGAGAAGCCGTGGAATATCCTCATCGATTCCGGGATGTCGGGCAATTATGCTCGACGCTCCACAATGGAGGGAAGTCAGCTGAATGCTGAGGCGCTGATAAAGCGGTTGGGTAACATCGTCACTGTTCGTCAACAAAGGGGACACGTGTCACGGTCCCGAAAGTCCCTGTGGGCCTCGGAGTCAAGTTCCTTGACTTTAATAGCGTGGAATGCTGTCCAGTTTTAGACTTGGATGCAAGGTATGACCTCATCCTCGGAATGGCATGGTTGGAACATCATGAGCCATGAGTTGATTGGAGGTCAAAGATCCTTGGCGCTATGCGCACGTTTCCTGGTGGAGCTTTGACGAGATATGAAACCACCTCTGCTAAGAAACTAAAGCGCTATTGGCGAGAGCACTGGACCGAGACGGTCAATGTGCTAGACATTGGAATGTTCTGGTTGGTAGACACCAATGGTGTATTGGACAGGAGTCCCGAGCGTGGCTCGCGGGCTGATCGTGGAGTTGCACGTAACCCACTGAGCACTGATCAAGTTTCGGAGCAGTTGCTGCATGTCATGCGTGACATGGTCGAGGGCGAGGCTTCCGTGATGCACGTGAAGTACACGAAAGCCACTGAGTGCTGCTCAAGTAACAAAGCAGTCACTGAATGTCATGCTTGACATGGTCGAGACATCGAGGGCGAGGCCCGTGTGATGCACGTGAAGTGGCACGTAAACCACTGAGCGCTGCTCGAGTATCGAAGCAGTCTCTGCATGTCATGCGTGACATGGTAGGACAGAGTCTGAGGCATCGTGGGCGCGGCCCTTCAGATGCGCGTGGAGTGGCACGTTATCCACTGGGCAAAGACTGTGGGGTCAGCCCTTCTTCGTCGGATGTTGTAAATAACATCGGAGCTCCATAAGAGCGAAAAGTGAGGGTGACACCGGACGACGCGGAGTGCGTGTTCATTCTGGTCTCACCGAGACATAAAATGTCTGCGCAGAGGCGATGGCGACGCCGTATGCTGGCTGCGAGACGCCGGACGTCGATCCTTATCATGGGTGTGTCTACCGTAGCTGACGGTGCACAGTTATCCACCCTCGTCAACGGTATGACGAAGAAGAAAGATGGCGACGTCTGCCTCGAGGCTATGCCTGCAGTAGAAGCTCTTCTTGAGCTAAACAAGATGTCTTTTGAAGAGTTCGGCAGTGTCTTGAAGGCAGGCGATTTGGCCGAAGTGGTCATTGTACGACCGGACAAGGAGATAAACTCGTCATCGCTTCTGGATCAAGCTGTCTTGGAGGACACCAAGAGAGTGCTGAGCGCACGAAGTGGATCGTCG